CAGCAGGGCCCGGGAACGCCGGGCTCAGCAGGATCGTGCGGGGGAGCCTCATCCCGTGACGCTGGCCCATGCGGCGCTGACGGAGCCACTGAAGCTTCTGGAGCTGCCCGGCGCTGGCCCCCCTGCCCGCACAGGGCCGCTCAGCCACGGCGGGGTTTGGCTCATTCTCCACTGTTGCTGCACAGGAGAGGAGCAGAGGGAACATGGAGCTGGATTCGGTGCGGAGCTGCCTCCGGCAGGGACCCAAGAGATGCCTGGGAGCAGGGAGGACGTGAGCCTGTGTGAGGCGGGCCGGAGGCAGCCAGTGCCTGCCAGGGCAGAGCTGCCATCAGGCAGCCTCTGTCTGTCTTTGTCCCTCTGGGTAAGGAATCGCCTTCCTCTGGCTTCTCCGTGGCCATGTGTGCTCCTGGGAGCTGTGCCGGGCTCCGTGGGGACACTGTGCTGTTGGTGACCCTGCTGCAGGAGTAAGAGGTACTTTAGCTCATGCACAGTGACCATCCTGGGGCGAGGTGGGCCCAGAGGTGACAACTCTGGAAGCTGGATGTGGCCCTTGTGATACTCCGCTGTGCTGCTCGCTGTGGCCTTTCTCTGGGAGTTTGACATGAGTGTGGGGATGGTTATCCTACTGAAGCTGCCTCCTAGTGAGGGCGCAGATTTGAACCTGGCTTTTATTTGCAGGGCCCCAGCACAGGCCTCCAAGGCAGTGAGCTGGCTTGTCCAGTGGAGGCCACACGAGGTGCTCTCATACAGAGAACATTGCAGAGCCTGCAGAAACAGGCCTCTGCTCTCTGGTCCTGGCAATGCTCTGGGCAAGATGAAGGTTCAAGCGTGTGGTCCCTCTTCTCCCTTCAGACCTGTGCAGGCTCATCCCACCTGATCTTCCAAGCCCCTTCTGGGTCACTGCTGCTCCCCAGCTGAGAATTGGGAAGACCAGGAGAGCCCCTGTGCTGGGGAGACCTTGAGGTGCCACTGGCAGGACATGCTGGCTCGTGCCAGTTGTGTGGTGCTGTCTGGAAGGCCTTGGTCTGCCTGCAGCTGCTGGCAGCAGCAGCCTCTCTCCCTGGGAATCTGCGTGATGGCGGCAGTAGCCAAAGAGCAACAACTAGAGTGTTCTGGTCTTCACAAGGGCTGTGTCTGATCATTTTGACTATGTGCACCTCTGAGTGGCCAATGTTAGATTTGGGCTTTCAGTGAGATGAGCATGTAGTGTAGGTAGCAGCTGCTTGGACCTCTTACCTCTCTTCCTAGAGCTCTTAAGGACAGTTCAGGACAGGATGTCTCCCTCCAGCCAAGTGCTTGTTTGAATGTTATATTAACAACTTGATTGCAAGGTGTTGTTGTGAAGTAGTATTTGCCCTCCTAAGGGCAAGTGTGATGCTGTAGCCTCATAGCAAAGGCATCTCTCCTTGAAGCCAGGTATGATGGTCAGTGCTCTGGCTTCTGTCCATCCACTGGTACTCCCCAGCTGGTCTCCACTGAGCCCCCTCCTATCTTTGTCTCTGTTTCCCTAATGGCTTATCTGTCTCCCTGGTGGAGCTGTGTTTGCAGCTGTGAAACAAAGTGACTTTCCTGGCATAAACTGACCCATGTAATTGCCTGGTGGAGTCTTTTTTCACTCTGACCTGAGTCTATTCCCGTATCTTGGCTGCAGTCTCAAACAATGAACTATGTGGGGCAGCTTGCTGAGACTGTCTTCGTCACTGTGAAGGAGCTGTACAGGGGTCTGAACCCAGCCACCCTGACAGGATGCATCGATGTCATTGTCGTGAGACAGCCTGACAACTCCTTCCAATGTTCACCGTTCCACGTACGCTTTGGGAAGCTGGGTGTGTTGCACTCAAAGGAGAAGGTGGTAAGTGGTGCTTGCCCTGGCAGAGCGGGGACTGGAGAACCTGGGTTCTTTCCTCTGGGTGCTCTTTGCTCTAAGTTCAACAGAGCTGTGTCCTCTCCCTGGTCACTCTCATGGTGGTAGTGCAAGCCAGTTTCTTGGGTGGGGGAGAATTAGACTTCTGGTGTCCTAAGACCTATGATCTATGTAGAGGGTTCTTGGTGTCCCCAAAGAGAGCACATCTAACCAAGAAATGCTGTCATGAACAGAAGTCATCTGTGGGAGGGATGACTAATGTCTATGCTTACCAAAAGAATCCTCTTTGAGGGAAGGGACCTCCTGAAGGGGTGTTAGCTAGTTTTCAAAGGAGTGCTCCCAGCTGGAAGCCATCCCCTTTCAAAGAGGATGGTGCTTCCTAGAGAAATTGGGATAGATCACTTGTTTCAGCTCTCTGAGCAAACCCAACCAGTCCCCTCCCATGGGTAGGGCTGTCTTGTACACCAATGAGTGAATGCATTTGGATGGATGAACTTCTGCCCTTTGTCAGGTTGACATTGAAATCAATGGGGAGACTGTGGACCTGCACATGAAGCTGGGTGATAATGGAGAGGCCTTCTTTGTCCAGGAGTCAGAGGAGAATGAGGTTGGTGATGAAGAAATGAATGCAAATCTCTCAGCTGCTGCTCCAAATTCCTGTGATGTGGGTCCAATGCATCTCTTGCTACCAGTTTGCATAGGCAGATCTACAAAGGAGACTGGGACTTTCAGTGCAGGGTCCTGCAAAGCTCAGGAGATGTTGGCAAGCCCAAACTGGTGACCTGAAGGATCAGAACCATGTCAACAACCTATGGAAGTGGCCAATGAGCACATCTGAAGATTGTGAAGGACATAGATGCCTGAGGAGCCCTTAGGCTGTGTGTGCTCTCTCTTGCTGTGGCTGCCTGGAATTGTGGGGCTCAGATGGAAGGGCCAGGCTTGGGCTACTGTGTTTTGGGGGCTCCATTAGCTGCTCTGACAGTTGGCATGTCTAGAAAATTTCCTCCTAAAGGACTTCACAATCAATGCATGGGACCTGGACTGTGTATCACCTTGAGGGAGTGTTAGACTAGATATGTGCAGGTCAGAGGCCTGAGATGTAGATAACTGCTGGCCAGCCAGGCAGATACCTCTGGGCGTAGTCTCTTGAGGGAGCTTGTGACAGGGATGAGAAGGAGCTAGATCTTGTGGTAGTCTCTCTTCTCCGCTGGAAGTGGGACAAGACTAACTGCTGCTTCAAGAAATCTCAGCCAACTTCCAGCCTGACTTGTGGTCACTGTTAGTTTGGACTGGGTTAGACTGGGTTAGAGAGGATTATTCTGTAGCATGCAGAGGGCTCAGGAGCCAAATTCCCTCAGCAGTCTCCATAGTACTAGTCTCTTGGTGCCATCTCCTGCCTATTTCTCCTTCTTTGTGTTCTAAGATGTCTCCTTATGACTGGATTTTTTTATTATGTCGTGTTTACAAAACATCTTCTTTAGGCCAAGCCACAAAACCACTCCAAAGATTGAGGCTTAGTGGTATTGGCTATGGTTGTTGTGAGTTGTGTAGAGAAGAGCCATGGAAAAGGAAGGGGTCTGAGATTAATGCCTGGTTTTGTATCTGTGTTTCAGAGGAGTATTCCTTCCTGTCTCTGCACTTCCCCCATCCCCATGGAGGAGATCCGAGAGGACATAGCTCAGGCATCTCAGCTGCAGGAGGCCCCAAGCTCTGAAGTGACCCTGCGCAAAAGGAGGCGCCGCAAGAAGCCCAAGCGGAAGGAGGTGGCAGAGTCCAACTTGGAAGGCTGTAAGGACACTGAGGAGAAATACAGGCTGCCAACCTCGAGGTAAGCTTGTTATCTGGGCAGTGGGACACAGTGAACTTAAGCCTTCAAGCTGACCACTTGATGCTCTGCAGGGCTGAAACATGCCGTTTTCTCTATGTAAGTTCTTTTGAGTCAAACACCAGCCTTCTGTGAAGTTCCTACTTGGGCACTCCTTGACTGGAGGCATGGAAAAGTGTGGCGGAAATGGAAAATTGGTCTATTAGCAGTTTTATGGGAGATGAGACTGCCATCTGAGAGTAGGGCCAACTGCTGCATAACTATTCTCCATCTTTTGCAGTGATTCAGTATATTTTTCCTTTATGGATCTCCCCAAAGAAGCAGCAGAGTCTTTGCAGTCTCAAGAAATCTACCCTTATTCCGATGGGGAGCTGGCCTCTGTGGACAGGTAATGGTGACAGAGGAAAGGTGTTCTGCTTGGGTTTGACCAGAGCAGGGAACATGACTTGCAGAGGTAGGGCAGGTTTTAAGGAAAAATTATTTGAAAGTGTCAAGGAAGGAAGACTTTTTCCTTGGGCCAATAAGATGTGGTTGAAGGAAAGCTAAGAGCTCTGTCTTGGCATGTGAAGGAGACTTCTCCTGGCTGTCTTCAAAGAAGCAAGAAGACCATGTATGCAGGCAGCTCAACTTGATCCCAGGCTGATCCCTGCCTCTGTTGCTGACCTGCTGCTAGACAACCTGGTTTATATCACTTTGCTGCCTCGGGCTGCAGCTTCCTATGAGTCTTGCTAATTTGTAAGTTGTAGATAGTATGGGGCAGGATGGACTCTCTGGGAATCAGCCTTACAAAGGCTCTTAGCCCTAGACGTCACTACAGTGGCAGGGAAACTTTGGGCTTTGTGGCTGATCAGGTCCAATATCACCTTCTCTTCTTGCAGCCTCTCCCTGAGCCATCAGTCTTCTCCAAAAAGTGACTCTGAGCTGGAGATCAGACCTCAGGAGAGTTTTGCTCTAGGGGCTGAATCCCATATGCAGTGGGCCTGGGGAAGGCTCCCTCAGGTGAGTTTCTGCTCTTGCTCCCCCTCTAGTGACTGAGATGGCAGGTGACTGAAAGATCTGAGTGAAAGTAGAAAACGCTGTGGCTAGGCAGCCGCAGAAAAACTCTTCTCTAGTACCTCATGCTTTGGTTTACTTCATCTACTCAAGCCCATTTCTCTGCTTTCCCCAAGGTGAATAAATCAGAGCGAGTTGAATCAGCCAAGTCCACAAAGGCTGTTTCTACTGTAGCAGCTGTTGGGTCCATGGCAGCAGCTCTGGTGGATGGAACAACCTGCCCTGTTGCTTTCTCAGAAGGCTTGGGAGGTGCTCCAAGCCTGGCAGGACTGCAGGATGCACCTCGTTCATCTGCTGTGTCTGTTGTTGAGCCCCCACCCCAGAAAGGGGTCAGCTCCAGCAGCCTGAAGGACATTCCCAGCACTGTGGGGGCTGAGAGCTTGCTGAAGTCTTCCTCCTCCCTGCAAGAGGAGCAGGGAGCAGAGGAACAGAAGGAAGAGGAGTGTATTGTGCCAGAGGTTCAGCTGGACTCTAAGCCCTTGGCTGCTGAGGGAGCTGCTGACCTGAGGCAGGTGTGCTTGGAGTGCCCAGAGTCCTACCTGGAAAGCCAGAAGAGACAAGGTGAGAGTGTTACTGGTGCTGCTGCTTAAGCAGGAGAGGTGGGACACAGAGGAAAATGCTGTAAGCTTTCTTGTTAGACCTGAGAGGCTGGAGAGGCAGTTCAGCTAAGCTCTCTCCTTTTTGTCTTTGCATTGAGGATCCATCAAAAAAAGTCCTCACCTGGGTCCCAGTGATGTTTACCTGGAAGATCTCACCAGACTGCATAAGGAGGAGGTGGCTCTTTATTTCCCCAGAAGGTATGTAGGTCTAAACTAGCCAAGCTCAGACTTTCTTGAGAGATTTTTATTTTTTTATACCAAAGGATCTAGGAGTGCATCTTAAGTTACTGTCTGCTTCTGCTTTTTGCTGCAGTGACACAGAGCAGAATCCAAAGCCTGTGGCTGACCCCAGCAGCACTTTGTGTGTCCAGCTGCAATCTGACTTGCCTGCTGAGAGCCCCATGGACTCGGAGTCAGACTTGATGCCCTCGATTGCACTGTCACTGTGTGGAGGCCTTGGGGGCAGCAAGCAGCTCTCTCATGGTAGGTATGAGGGGAATCTGCTTGTTGAAAAACCTGCTGTGTAAACCAGTGGCATGATGCAGGTTTTGTCCCATCAGAAAAATTCATGGAGCACATCGTCTCCTACCAGGAGTTTGCAGAAAATCCAGGAATCATTGATGATCCAAACCTGGTGATACTACTCAACAAGAAGTGAGTGGCCTGCTCTTCCTGACTGTTTTAGTGTGACATCAGTGTGACCTATCTTTTCCTTCAGAAATGTTCCTGTAGGGATGTGCCTCCATTTGAGGCAACTATAGTAGCTATGGGCAGGAGCTTTGCAGCCTTGCTGTAGAATAATGATCTGAAAACAGATCTTGTGGCTCCAGTGCTGTGCTGACAGGCATCTAGACTTGCACACAACTCTTCCTCATGTCTTCCTCCCTGGAAAGTCTGCTTGCTCATGTGATCACTCACCAGTATGCAGTCTGGTTTGTTTTCTGCATCTAATGATCAAATAGACATGACTGAGGAATGCTGCAGACCAAAAAGGACATGTCAGCTGCCTGCTGCTATAGCCAAGCTGTGACTTGTCCTTATATTCCCAAGAGAACATAGAAATCTTCCAGATCCCTTCTACTTTCTGGCTTGCATGGAGATGTGCTCTCTGTCTCTTCCCCACTGCCTTTCTGAGACTGCTCAGTTTGTGCTGTGATGTTGTCATCTCTCTGCTTGTTCCAGGTATTACAACTGGGCAGTGGCTGCTCCCATGGTCCTCTCTCTTCAGGCCTTCCAGAAGAACATCCCTGAGGTCAGTGACACATGCACACCCTAGACCTATGCCCAACAGGGCATTCTTGAAGCCCTAATCTGTTCCCCCAGGCTTTGTAAGAAATCTGGGGTATCTGAGGGTTACTGTAGCCTACAGGCCCCATGATCTGTCCTTTCCTCAGATGTACCAAGGGAGTGGCTTTTTTCTGGTTCTACTGAAATGTGGAAAGCAGACTTCAGTATTAAAAACTACCTATTTCAATGGCTACTCCTGCCTGCATGGCAGCAGGAGTAAGATAGCTTGGGTATTTGAAAGGATTTGGGACCTGCATGGGCCTGCTGCAGAGCCATATGGAGCTGGCTGGGACTGTATAGAATAGGACCTCCAGGTGTGTGTGTTATTTTGTGTGTATGTGGTTTTTTTTGTTCTTGTTTGTTCTTATCAAACTGTATCAAGGGATCAGTTGTGGTACCTTTCCCTTCAAACTGTCTCAGCTCATGACAGGACAGTAGAGTTCATCCTATCCTTTAAATGATTTAGCAAAAAAAAGTCTAGGAAATTATTTCCCTTAGGTTCTTGGACATCTTAGTATCTCTGTGCTGCAGAATGACTTGTTTCAATGTTCCATCACACTATCATAGAGCACCATTGACCGACTAGTGAAGGAGAAGATGCCAAGGAAGAGCAGCAGGTGGTGGTTCTCCTGGAGGAGGCAAGAATTCCCCGTGGAGGAGGTGTGTTTGTAGTGGTGGCTGTGGCAGATGTTTCCCTGAGTTCAGGAGCTGTTCTGGCCACAGAATAGCAGGTTCTTGGGGCTGGCCAGAGGCTGAGTGCAGGAGAGGCCAGAGGTACCTGGTGGCTAGGTGTCTACTGCAGGTGGTCCCCTTAGGTCTGTCAGTGCCCAAGCAGCAGCCAGTGACCACCCTGGCAATGCTGAGACTACTCTGGGCTTCCTGGGACCTCATGGAGTCCAGATACGCCTGCAGGCTCACCTGCTTTGCAGACTACACCAGAGCCAGCTTGTCCTCCCTGCTCCCTGTGCCATCCATGTCCCCATGACAGGTGAGGGATGCACTGCCACAGCTTTTGCTATCACTGCTCCACTTGCCAGTGAAGCAAAATGGTCTCTGCTGCTACTTCTGCAATGACCTGCTAATGCTGCCCCTCTGTCTGCAGCCACAGCCAAGACCAGGCAAGGCTGGTGTGGACACAGTGCAGCTGGATCCCGTTCAGCAGAGGTGAGCGCCTTCCTCCTGCTGCTGGGCCCTAGTTAGGGGGATGTCTATAGGAGACCCGATCCTCTCTTAATGGCCAGTTATTCCCAAATTTTCTTGGTGTATAGGGGCAAAAACCTTTGTTAATTCTCTGGCTGATTTCAGGCCATGCAAAGTCATCTTCTGGATTCCCCCCAGATCTGTGTTCCTGGGGAAAGCCATGGTCTGCACAGAAAAGCAGAAAGGCTTTCTCCTTCTTTGTGTAGGCAGGAGGAGGAGGTATCGTTCAGTGATGATGAGCCCCTGGATGCCGGGGACCTTTTGGCAAAGGATGCGTCAGCACATAAACCTCTGCCAACCTACAAGAAATCTCTGCGTCTTTCCTCCAAACAAATCGTGCGTATCCCCTCCTTCACTGGCCTCCCTCTGTGTAGAGGGAACACATTCTTCTCATAAGGCTCTGCTTCTCTTTGCTTCTGACCTATGTTTTATAGGACTTCTAAGTATTTTGCCTTCAGTTACCACCCTTTGAGACCTGGGTCCTCTGTGGCCTGGCTGAGTGACAATCTTGGCCTTGGTCTTTGGACTGGCAGTGAATTGGTGCTTGTGTACCGTGCTTGAAGACTCTACTTCAGAGAGTCTTATTTTTCTGGCTGAGCTGCTGAATGCTGTTCTTCCTCCATGTGGTGTCACCTCTGTGGTGTGTTTCCTCCTCTGTTGCAGGAAAGGCTGAACCTGCAGGATGGCCCCAATGATGTGGCGTTCAGTGTGACAACTCAGTATCAGGGCACGTGTCGTTGTGAGGCCACCATCTATCTGTGGAACTGGAATGACAAGGTGGTGATCTCGGACATTGACGGCACCATCACCAAGTAAAGCATCTTCCTGTGTCTTGCCTGTCTGTGCTGCCCTTGTCAGGGGAAAGTGTCCTTTCAAGGCTTGTGTAAGCAGCCAGGGGGGCACCAATTCCATTGGGTTCTGCCTGGATCAGCCTAACTTGTTCTTCCTTTCCTGCTAGGTCAGATGCTCTAGGACACATCTTGCCACATCTGGGAAAAGACTGGACTCATCATGGGGTTGCTAAACTCTTCCACAAAATCCACCTGTATGTATTGGATCCATTAGCAGCCTGAGGCTGATAGGAGGCAGGAAGGTGGTGGAGGGGAAGCCCTAGTACCAAGTACCTGCCTTGAGGTCTGGAGCTGTCCCAGCTCCTTCTTGCTGATATTGGGTCCCTGGGGCTGCGGATACAGGGATGTTCAGGAGCCCAAGGTTCAGTTCTGTGTCTCCGACTTGGGATCTTCGGCCGCTAAGAGGCACTGTCGTCTCGCTGTTTGCTCAGCCAGGCTCAGTGTGGAACCAGGACTACTTGATTGAGGCTCAGTCCTCTGTGTGGCCATACCTGGGGTCTGCCTTTGCCTGCACCTTGTATCTGTTAGTCTCTGATCCCAAAAGAACAGCGCACTGTCCACCTGAACTCTCAGTCTAGCAATGCTGGCAGCTTAGAGGGGCGGTAGGGACCATGTCCAGCTCCCCATAAGCTGCGCTGAGTTCACAAGGATGTAACAAAAGTGTTGTCGTACACTGACGTGGGAGACGTCTCCAGGTGCCCAGCCAAGGTTCATGAAAAGGGCAGGAGGCAACTGTGGGGCACTGAGTGCGATGGGCACCAAATAGTGAAGGGCAACTTGCAGCATGAACGATAATGTTAGGAAGGGCCTGAAAGATGGCATAGGGCCCCTCATCTCTGTTCCTTGGGCCTTGCCACAACAAGGATGAAAACTCATCTGGGTTTCTGCTGATCAAGTAAGCTGCAGCACTTGTGAAGCCATCCTGTGCCTTGAAGGGGCCAAACAGATTCTGGTTAGGTCAGACAGTCACATGCTCTGCCCTAAAAGCATGGCAGGAAGGTTCAGAGGGTGCCTTGTCCAGAACACAGCTCTGACAGGTTCTCTGTACTCTCTCCAGCAATGGCTACAAGTTCCTCTATTGCTCAGCAAGAGCGATTGGCATGGCGCACATCACCAAAGGCTACCTGAAATGGGTCAACGAGCAAGGCTGTGCCCTCCCCAGGGGCCCCATCCTGTTGGCCCCCAGCAGCCTCTTCTCTGCCTTCCACAGGTGCCAGTTCCTCTTTGTTCCCCAGCCCTGCACCTTCCTGTGCCACAGTGATGGCACTTTCCTCTTTCCCACCCTCAAAGCTGAGGGGTGTCCCAGCTTTAAACCACATGGCCTGTGTGGTGCTGGATGCCTTTCATGAGAGGCAGCAGGAAGACCTTGGCCTGCCCTCCTCAAAGCTTTGTGGTGAAGCTCTTGCAATGCTTGAAGCTTCTCTTGCCCTTCAAAACCCATTAAGCCCCTGTCTCACTGTCCACAGTCCTGGCCTGATGCTGCTCTGACCTGGGCTCTGTGCATCTCCTTTGTGCTGCAGGGAGGTAATTGAGAAGAAGCCAGAGATGTTCAAGATTGCCTGCTTGATGGATATCCGAAACCTTTTTGCCCCACAGCAGCCCTTCTTTGCAGCCTTTGGGAACAGAGTCAATGTGCGTGGGTTCCTTGGGGATGAGGGGGAGGGTGCTGGCAGAGGCAGCCTGTGGCTCACACTTCTTACTGGCTTTCTCTTGGCAGGATGTATATGCTTACAAGCAAGTAGGACTACTGGAGAGTCACATATTTACTGTCAACCCCAAGGGAGAACTGATCCAGGAACTCACAAAGACCCACAAGTCAACGTGAGCTGCTTCCATATTTCTTAGCACCTTTGAGTTAACTGAAATCAAGAAGAGTCTTTTTTCCTTTTTTAATCTCACAAGACTTCCGACTTTAGCTAGTCTTTCTCCTATATAGCCAGCCAAGTTGTAATGTCAGTGCTAGATATGACTATAGGACTGAGCAAGGACTGCTGAATGCAGTAATACTAGCATGAACTTGGTAGCCTTGACTACCTCTTTACAAGGTCCCTGCAGACAAAATTGCCTCAAGCCCCTTTTTATCCATTACTGCTGCAATTCCTTTTTGATCTCTTAGGTATGAGCGGCTGTCAGAGCTGGTGGATCTGATCTTCCCTCCTCTAGGGCAGCATAGGAACGCTGCTCTGGTGTGTCCTGAATTCAGCCACTTTGCCTACTGGAGACCTCCACTGCCTGTCATTGACTTGGAAGACTTCTCCTGACCCTGCTGCCCACGGATATCAGGCCAAGGACTCTCCCATAAGCATCTGCCAGGGCTGGGTGTAACAGATGCATCTTCTCCTGCTGTGTGCTGCTCAGGTGTACCACTTCTGATACGGGTCATATTCTGCACTAGAAATACTCCTCAAGGGGCAAAATGAGGGTAGGGGAGCTCTGTCTTTAGAAAAACTCATTTACTAAACTGAAACTTCCTTTAAGCCAAGTGCTTTCTTAAAGTTCTTTATATGCTTAAAGCATGACTGTTTTTTAAAGGTGATGGATCACTGTTGTATTTATTAATAAGCCTCTGGCATAGCTATTTCTACCTCTAGTTTGACTGGTGTTCCCTGACAGTCCAGCTGCCTTGTTTAGTAGCTGATGGAATGAAGGTGTCATGGGATTTAGCAACTTGTAAAGGTAGCTGGAAACTGTTCGGTTTCATGTGTTCTTCACTAATAGCATTAATAAATAGTACCTTAATTCAGGCTGTCTCTTGTCCCCTCAAGTCCTGTGCATGGAAGGGGGGAACCAGATTGAGTCCTTGTGCAAAGGCAGGTACATTTATGCTCCTGAGGGGTTCTGTTGAGGGTGTCTCTTGTGGTGATGAAACCTGCAGCTTTCTAGGCTTATGGAGTGACTTAGAAAAGGTGTTATGCTTTTTAACCCCCTTTTTTTTTTTCTTAAAGCCACATTTATATTGATGCTGGAAACCTCAGCAAGAAATACTTTATTTTCCTTTCCCATACAAACAGTCTTTCAGCTTTTAAAATTTGAACAAATGTACAAAGTTTTAAAAACAATAAAACACAGCCTCTTCCCAAGATCAGTTCCCAACAACTTCAGAGGCCTGCCCTGTGCAAGAACAACCACACGGGGCCAGTCTCCCTCTCTCTTTGCAAGAGAGGAAAAAAACAAAAACAAAAAACAAAAAAACACACACCCTATTTTACAGAGTTCACTTCACTTTTTAGGCATGAATAGCTGAGAACTGAAGTAGAAACTGTCCCTATCTTCAAGTGACACATCAGGAATAGTCCAAACATAGCACCATTTTCTGGAAGGCTCCTCCTGTTCTAGCTTTGTTACCAGAATCTCCCTCCCTTGGTGCTGGAGGGAGCTGTTTCCTCTTCAGCCCAAGCTGTGGCTTACTGGCCTGCCTGACAGTCCCATACATAGTGCTTCATTAATTTTTCTTCTTTGGTTGCTGTAGCCCTTTTCTCTCCCTCTTGTGACAAGATGCAGAGTTTGGCTTGGGCAGGGGGCTCTTCGGGGCTGAGGCCTCTGCAGGCCATTGAACTGTGCTGAGGGTTGGCTTGAAACCCTGACTTTGGCTGAGCCCAAAACCGTCCCTGTGGTCTAACAGGAGTTTCTGTGTGATGCTTGAAGGCAGCTGGATGTTGCTCCTCAGCTCCTTCCTCTCTTAGCTGCAGAAGGCTCAGTAGGGACAGCGTAGCCCTAACTTGGCCATATCTAGAGCAGGGTGAGTGGATTTTGCTACTGTGACCATCCCTCAGCCCCAGCAGGGTAAGTCTACCCCTGTCAGGGTAAAGTGACATGGCCCACAGGACTGGGTGATCCTTGTGGTTCCTCCCACCACAGAAGTGGTTGGATTTTCCGTTTGAAAGAGGGGTTGGGATGGACACGTTGTCCCTATTGCACCTCTCTTGGACATTGCTGCTGATTTGTGCCTGTGAGAGCAGCCCTGGGCAGGTGCTGCAGGCTGTGCATGGTGCTCGCTGCTCCCACCTTGTGTCCTGTGGTGGGGGAAGAGCAAGGCAGGGTGACAGCAGGTGCTGGGGCTGGAGGCTAGATGGGGTGAGAGGCTGTTACCTGCAGATCTGAGCCTATAGGAAAAGCCTATAGGAGGAAAGCAGGTTCCTCCACTATAAAGTGCCAGAGCTGGTCAAATGCAGGCTCTTTAATTTCTTCTTCATCCTTTCTGGTACTATGGTCCCTCTGGGCTGAGCAGTGGAGGTGGCCTCTCCAAAGAGCTGGATTTAGTGGAGAACAGCTGTGGGGAAGAGGCACTAGCTCCTCAGGGTGAATCTGGAGTTGCTCAGGTACCTGTATGGTCTGTTCCAAGCTGCCCTTTCACGGGAAAGCAGAGTGAAACTGGGGAAATCATGCAGGTCTCGTGCTGCACCAGCTTGGCTTGAGCGCCTGAATGGGGGTCAGTCCTTCCCCATGGTTGTGCTGAGGTTGCTCCTCAACCAGGTGGCCTTTCCCTTCCTTGGCACTCGCCAGCAGCTGAAGGCAGGGGGGAAGCAGCTTCATGCTCCTGTGCTGAACATGGTGGCTCCCTGCACAACAGGGACCTCCTCCCTCTCACAGCTGGACCTTGCTGCCATGTGATGACAGGAGGGAACCCATGTTCACAGTTGAAGCAATTAAAACGGAACAGAGCCAGAGCTGGAGGATAGGATTGCTCTTCAGGCACCTTATAACCAACGCATGTCTTCAATAACATCCAAAGGAGTGCGGAGCATCAGGGAAGACGCAAGATTTCCATAACCCTTCGTGCCTGTCCCAGCTGTGACCAAAGAGCAAGGTACCCTGGGTGTCCTTCCTGCATGTAGTGCAGGGCAACTGCTAGCTGCTGGTGTGGTTGTCCAAAATAGAGCAAGGGAGAGGGGGGGCACCGCTAGAAGACTTCACAATTGGACAAGCACCATGATCGTGGATTGTTCAAAATGTATATACATACATATGTTTTCCTAATGCATATCCTCATATGCTCTGTAGTGCATGTGCGTTTGCATGAAGAAACGAGCAGTATAAATGGATTTACCTTACACAAGGAGGGCTGACGTCTCGAAGAGGGGGTTATAATTCCCAGAGGCACACGACAATACATGTTTTCTTTGAAATCCACAATTCCTGGGGTGAGTTTTGCTGCTGGTAAGGAGTCCTGGCTCTCTTTACTCCCTGGATTAAGATGCAGGTAGTCTTTAGGTCAGATAAGCCCTATTCCTCAATTCACAACTACAGAGTTTTATTCTTCAAGAAGTGATAAATCCACAAAAAAAAAAAAAAAAACCCCTCCTCCAGCTTCCTCTTGAATTGCCCTTCTGGAGCCATCAGTTCAGGAGCCAAACCACCCCCTCCAGCTGCAGCACAGGCTCCGTGGGGTCAGCACAGCTGCTGAACGGTGGGAGGGAAGCACAGTAATGGCAAAGGGGAAAGCAGGACTGGTAATTTTTTTTTTAAAAAAAAAGAGGGGATGGGGAAGAACGGGTTTGTAGCAGCTTTTAATTTATCTTTTATCTTTTAATTAAAAAAAAAATCCAAAGAACAGTTGTCACATTGGAGTAAGTCTGTGTGATATAAGTTAATTCTGTTCTTCCAGGCAGAGAGGAGAAGAAAGAAGTGTCAGGATTGCTAATGCTGCTTCGTGTCTGCCTGCTCTTCCAAGTGGCTGACCTGCTCTGCCAACTCGGACACTTTGGCTTGGCAGTCAAGCAGGTTGTCCTTCAGTCCTGTTATTTCCTGAGAGTGGGCAGCCAGGGTCCCGTTCATACGGTCCATGTAGTCCCACAGGCTGCCTGTGTGTTTCTCCAGTTCGTCCCTGATGATGTCCAGGCTTCCTGTGACGGCACCCAGCCTGCCACACAGGTTCTCCACCCGCGCCACCCGCTCATCGAAGTGAGTGATCTCCCGCTGGAGGTCATGGGCCACGCTTTTGCAGGAGCTCAGGTCACTGACAATCCTGGCTTTGAGTCGCTCCAAGTCTCCCTTGAGGTTCAAGACACGCCGGTTGCTGAAGAAGAGCTGAGAGCCTTGGTCGCTGACTTTCTCCTGAATGGAGTGGACCTCATCCTCAATTTTCCGCTCATGCTCATCCAGTGAGGAGTTGACGTGTGCCATAGTGTCTGAGTACTGGGAGACAGAGTCCTTGAGCCCTGTCAGGGACTTGCTCATGGTGTTCAGGTTGATCTTTAGCAAGGTGATCTCCCCTTGCAAAGCTCCCGATGCTTCTTCCTCAATTCGCCGCTGGATCTCCAGGATGGTGGCATTCAGCTTGCTCAGGAGGTCATAATTGCTGTCCATTCGGAGGAGCAGGTCGTGGTTCTTGTTCTGGCAGTCCTCGATCTCTGTCCGGAAGGTCTCCACATCTTTGGAGGCAGAGGTGCAGTCTAGGGAACAAGTGCTCTCCAGCGTGATGAGGCGATTCTGTAACACCTCCAGTCTCTCGTCCGTATGCTTCCTCATGCTAGCGAGCTCCCCCTCCAGCATAGGCACCACTGCTCCATCCATGCCCACAGGAGCACTGATGTTGTTCAGCTCCCCCACAATGGTCATGAACCTGTCCTCCAAGGTCTGCATTTTGTCTTCAAAGGCAGTCCTCATGCCATCCACCTCTGCTACCACTGTGCCTCTCATGCTGTCCTCTACACTGGAGCAGCAGCTCCCTGTTTCCCTCTCTGTAGCATTGAGTCTGGCTTCCAGATCCTCAAAGCGCCCTTCAAAGAGGTTCTCGAGGGTGACAGTGGAGACTTCTCCATCCATACGTGAGTGTAAGTTCTTCTGGGACTCGGAGATGCTGTGCAGGCCTTTCTCTACGATGTTCATGCGATCAGTGAGGTAGTCCAGGTTGCTGCAGCAGCTTTCCACCACTGTCAGCCCTTGGATCTGGGTCTCCAGCTGGGAGATCTCTTTCTTGATCTCTAACTCCTTCCCATCCAGTGTCTGCTGCAGCCGCAAGTTGGCAGCTTTCTCCTCCTCGCATTGCTGCCGCACCTCTTGGATCCGGAAGTCGCACGTGGTCTGGATCTTCCCCAGCTTCTTCTCAAAGCCATCGAGCAGCTCTCCACGCAGGTTGCTCAGCCGGGTGTCCACATATTCCTCCAGCATGTCAATGGAGGTGAGTGGCGAGGGTCGGGCTGACTCCAGCAGGTGTTTGATCTGCCCATCGTGGTCCAGGACCATGCCACGAACCTCGTGCAGCAAGTCTGCCTTGGTTTTCAACACGTCGCTCACCTCTGTCACTTTGGTCAGGATCTCCCCCACAGGAGGATATGTGGCAATGTCGGCCTTATCTGCTATGTCC